AAAACAAACCATTTTGTTAACACTTTTCAAGAGGGTTTAAAGTGCAGCTTTATTGCATAGGAATAAAGTTGTGCTTATATATAAACACATATGTCATATGCATATGTAAAAAATCCACTTATATAAGATTTAATACAGGATCGTGTGTAATATAAGAAAACATTTCTAATAATTACAAGTCTTTTTTGCCCAAGCTGTTATGTTTTGAATTTTTGTATTTATGTTATTGTATTATATACAACATTAAAAAAACACAAAACATATTGTCTCATCCAAGTGGATAATCTAAAACTTCAATTTTAGATTTGCCCCTCTCTTTTAATAATTTTAGATTGCAAAAACTGTCATCTTATTCTTAGACTGTTAAAAATGATATTTGCTGCTATTTCGTAAAACGTTGAAGCCAAAATTTTTTTGGGTATGTGACATCACTTTGTGGCAAAAAAACTAAATAAACTAGAAATAAGATTTTATCTATATTTTTTAGTATAATTGCCTTTATTAAAAATATAAAAAATATATTTTTATAGTATATATGCTAATAAAGACTAAATATAGTAATTATTATTTAAATAAATACAAACTCTTAATTATGAAATGACATATCTGTACCATTTTTATATCTTTTTGTTTAATTGTATGCACCATAATCAAAATTAATAAAAAAAATTCAAGATAAATGCAAAAGCAAACTTGACGTATAAAAGTTTTTTTTTACCACAAACTGACGCCACTTCGCAAATTTTTTTTGCTTAACTTTTAGATTAGCGTTGTATAGCTGAGGCCAAAGTTTTTAATGGTCTAAGATCTTTTTTCTGCCATTTGTATAGCGTTACATACAAATGTCTGTAAGTGTAAACATTTAGGAGAAAAACAAACCTAATCATAAATCTCTTACAAGCTCTACATATGTGGAAAAGATGCGCATGTTAATTTTTTTGCTCTTATGGCAATTTTTCAGAATGAATTATTTTACTAAAAAATATTGAAGTAAATAAGGAATAGGTTTAGAAACTATGGGTGTGGAATAGATAAGTATAGAAATAGTAGGTTTGGTAAAGACCCTTATTTTACAGGTCCAGAAAGCTAGAATATATATATAAGGAAAAAGTATAGAAAAAGTTGGTGTGTAATAGACTTACAAAGACCTGTATTTTTAAAGGTCGGTCAGCTAGATATTATTATTATTATTATTATTATTATTATTATTATTATTATTATTATTATTATTATTATTATTATTACTATTTAATGTTAAACTTTTTAAATTTCTTTATCAAAAGTTTGTCAAATTAAAAAAGATAATAATGTAAAAAAATAACAAAGCAAAAATAAAAATCAATAGTGGGAAAAGTGGCAAAAGAGAAAAAAGTTTTTTAATTCAGGAAAAAAAAAATGTTATGAAATGAACTACCTTCATTTGTATTTCTTATCTTTTGGCCCTAGTAATAATTTTCTGTTGTGTTTTTGATCGTATATAAATTATAGGTTTTCTTACTTATCTAGGTTGGATCTATTTTTGTCCTTTTTTATCCAGTTTTGTAAGTCAGGTATTCCTGCACAAAAGATTTTTTCCAGTTCTTTTTGAGATTTTTCCCAAGTCTTGTTGCTTTTTCTATTATAAAGACTGTGCATGTTTATTTTTAAATTAACATATTGTTTGTTCAACATATTCAGCTTTCAAATCAAGCTATTATCTGATTGAAGTGGAAATCCAGCTTTAAGCCACGAACCCTTTATTTGACTAAGAATACATTAATAATGTTGTTCAACACATCTTTCTTATTTCTTGTTATTTTTTTTACTGAACAAGCAACTAACGGGTGGGGAGAAATTAGTTACACACAAATCAAAGCCTTGAATTTTTAAAGAAATAAAAGCAAAATTTTTTAAAATATTTTTTTTAAGTTAAAACAATATTTATTTTAACAAAATTATTTTTTATAAATTGATAGCAATCCCTTGTCGGCTATTAATCTCAATTTCGTCTTGATACCCTTTATAAATGATAGTAAAAATGTTGCATCAATTTTTTCTAAACATGCATTGATACACCCGATCAATTGTTTTGAACTTTTGGCCTCCCATCCACCCTCATACACATTTTGAACTAAAACTCCCCAAAAGTCTTTGATTGGCCGGGCTTTGGGGACATTAGGAGGGTTAATATTGACCGGCAGGAAATTGATATTTTCATCCATCCAGGAAATGGCCTCTTTAGACCTATGAGCACTAGCTAAATCTGGCCAAAAAATGTAATTTAGGTCTTGATGATACTTATCGATGAATGTTATAGGTCATTCCTCTAAGCATTCTTTGATATAAATGCTTGATTTTATTGCAGCCAATATTGTTGACCGAGTGGTTTTGACATTGCACACTCAGATAGTGCTATCCAAACTAGAATTTTTTTTTTTTTAATTTTTCTTTTCCTGCAAAACAAACATTATCTGGACATTTGTCTTTGTCATTCGTGTAATATCAAGTGTTTCCAAGCATTTCATCGCTGATGAAACAAAAGTATTTTTTGTTTTCTAAAACTAAAACACTTTACGAGTTTTCGGCTTCTTTTTTGTGCCCTTAGATGCTATCCATCATTGTACTTGGGTGTTTTCCAAATGTGTACAAATTGTCTTTTGATCAACTTTGAATTTATGTGGGAGTTTTCTTTGACTTACACCTTTTCCATTGTTGGTCAACCTATGAAGTTTTGCTTTTTTTTCTCGAGTCCATCATCGTGGACTCAAGAAAAAAAAGGGCGTCCAGATTTTTTTGTAACTTTTAAACACTGTCCAGTAAGGTGTTGATTGATATAATTATATACTGTTTTGCGACAGACTCCTTCTTTAATAAAATGGTTAGCTTCAGCCTTTGTAGCTTTTGGATTTTTTACAAAATAATTTTTGATATTATTTCGAAGAACTGCTCTTTCTTTGTCGTTTAACTTTTTTTTTTGAATAATTTTTTTTTAATAAAACTAGAATATTTAAAAATACAAATTACATTTGAATGCTAAATATAATATTATGGATTTCAAGCAAAACTAAGTTAACTTTGGTGTAACTAATTTCTCCTCACCCGTTATTAAAGATTTTTTTGATGTTTGCATAGACTGATTAAAAGTTTTGTGGTATAAAATATCCAATCCAGTTAGCAGTTCATCAACTAAAAAAAACTAAAAAAAATTCAGTAAGGTTGCTCCTCTACAACGAGAAATCTTATTGAAATAATATTTAAAACTGAAAAGAAGTCATAACAAATTCATTACCTAATATTGCTGGTTTAACATAAAATATTGCTGGTTTCTCAATAAAAATATATGTTTTTTTATTTCTTTTTTATTTCTTTTTTCTTTAACACTTTTTAATAGTTTCTAACTTGTATTTGCACTTACAGCTATCACTTACTGTAAGTCTTGTTTCTATCAAACTTTCTATTATAACTTAAATAATATTATAATATGACAATATTCAACACTATTTTGAAAGAAATGACAATTAGTTTGTTAAAAATATATGATGAAAATAAAATATTTACTACAGAGTTTCATAATATACATTAATGTTAACTTATTGTTGTCAGTTTTTACTTTTAATGATCTTTTAAAAGGTAAGAAGAAAACTTGTTCATTATTTAAGAAAAATTAAAACAATTGAAAAATACAGTTTAACAAACAAAGCAAAATAGATTTTAAAACTTTTCTTCACTCTTTTAACGTTAAAAGTTTCTTTTGTTAAATGCGCGCTAAAAGTTTTTTATTGCATAACTTTTGTGAAATCTTTTTTTATTATAAAAAACAATTATGAAAAAAACCAGGATACACAACAATTAAAAAAAAAAATTCGGACTATTATAAGCACATTGGAAAAAAAATCCCAAAATATTGATTTATACCTTGCAAAATTACTTAGGAACTACAGCCATTTTTTGGGGTATTTTGCCATTTGAGCACAAAGTAAATGTCAATATTTTGGGATTTTTTTTTTGTAATCCTATTTTTTTATATTTGCCCTAAATTTGGCTTCTTGTTTATTCCGGTATTGAATTTTTATTTTTATATTACTTTAATTAGTTTAATTACATCCCTACTACACACACACATGCCATAACCCTGTAATATGAATAAGACACATATCTTTTTTTTCAAAAAGTTATATAAATTAAAAAATGTTACTTTTGTGTATACAAAATTTAAATTTTATTTTTATTTAAAACCAATACTCTTTCTCTACAAAATATTTTTGAGACCTGGGTTGATAAATCTTTGAAGAACTTTTTTTTTAATTAATTTATAGGAAGCTTCAATCAATCAAAGGTAATGCTGGATGAAAGTAAACAAAACCAACAATTTTTAGTTACCTTACAACCAATGTAAATCTACTTTTTATAGGGTCAACCTATGAATCTAAAGAGTATCAAAAAATGCTCATTATAATAAAAAACATTTTTGCATAAAAGCATTAAGTTATTAGCATCAAGTTTTTTGAAAAAAAACTTAAGTTATTAAAAAAAAAAACATTTTTTAAAACAAACAAATTTGAAAAAACTTATTTACACAATATTCATTAATGTATCGCAATATATATATAATGTTAATGTAATATAAAGAAATAAGCTAATATAAGAAATATTGCTAAAGCTACAACATTTTTAAACAAAAAAATTAAAAAAAAAAACTATTTCAAGTTTTTAAAAACAATCAGTGTTTTCATTTTTCCAAGAATTATACTACTACATCTTTTTTATTCTAAAAAACACTGCAACAATTTTGTTCCAAGAAATATACCATTAAAACTTCTTTACTCTAAGAAATATAGCACTACAAAAAAATCTTTACTGTGTTTCAACAATTTATAATTGATTTTAATTTTCTACAACAAATCATTTTAAAACTCGTGTTTGTTAAATTAAAAGTTAGCAAACCCTAAAACATCACAACACTATATGTTGTAATATAATAATTGATTCAAGATCAATATAAGAACAAATAAAATTCTTACCAAACCTTCATTTATAGTCTGTCGTACGATATAATTATTATCTTCTTTTATAATAACAGTTTTTTTATCAAGAGGTTTGTCTGGTATCTAAAAAAAAAAATTATTACCTTGAAAAATTAATAAACATTAAGAAAGTTATTATCATAAGATGTTAATAGTAAAATATTTTTACACATAAAATATTTAAAAATTATAATAATACATAATATATTTTTTTTATATTTTTTTAATCTTTCAAATTTGAAAACGAAGATAGCACCTTAATCAATTATATTCAATCTTTGCCCAAGTGTAGGCAAGAGATCATAGATAATGATGTTTATACTGTTGAAGATTTGTTAAGAAAGTAAAAATAATAAATAATTTTCTTTTGAAAAAATGCTCATTTTAGACAAACCAATATATTTATAAGTTCTATTTCTGATAGTCAAGTGCTAGCTGTTAGGATGAAAGCTAACATCGCGTTGTTATACAAAAAAAAAAAAATCTAAACTTGGTGCCTTATACAATAGGCTTACATCTCTTTAACTTCTGTCGGCTTCATAGAACATATAGTAAAAGATTATACAATAGGCTTACATCTCTTTAGCTTCAGTTGGCTTCGTAGAACATATAGTAAGAGATTTTACAATAGGCTTATATCTTAAAATTTATATTAAAATATATTAAAATTTCATATTGAACCTTAATTTATTTAATTTACTGTTCCCAACAAACAAGTATGACCATGTTATTATTTAAATATTAATTCTCCAGTTAACATTTACTGTCATTTCACTTTCATTTTTAAAGTAGTTTTAATTAGTTACCATGGACGCAGTCATTCGAGAAAGATCTTACTTTTTAGCTTTTTTAAGATTTTACTTTATAGAACTTTTATAGAACTTAATATTTATTAGTATATTAATAAATTTTAATAGATCATATTTAATTATCTTAATATATTATCATATATAAAGACCATATTTTATAGAAGTATAGAAAATAGTTTAGTAAATTATATATAACATTTTTATTAGATATAAAGTAGAAAAAATCGCCCCTTTTAATATTTTAAATGGTTTATATTTTGTTTGTTTTCTTTTAGCTTTATTTGTTTGTTTTTTTTAGCAGTTTTATTTGAGCATATATTTTATTTTTTTAAAAAGAAAAAAAAATGATGAGACCCAACTGTTTTTTATGCACTTTTTTGCACTAAAAGAGTTACACTAATACTTTTTCATAAAATTGTTTATTACTACTTTTAAATTTGTTTATCGTTTTAAAAAAAAAAATTTATAAGTCCTAAACTAATATAATTCAATATACAATGAATGCTATGATTTCATACCTTGTTTATTTTATTATGTTGAATATTATCTAATTAACATTTTTGTGCTATTTTTGTTCTTTTTTAAAAAATTTAGAAAAAAAAATTAAAATTTTCAGCCAACACTGACATATTGTTTGTAAAATTTTATTGTTTGTAATGTTTGTCATGAGGATTGCAGTTCTTTTTTCTTGTTTTTTTGTTTATTCTTTTTTCAATAAGTATATGATTTAAATTTAATTTGATATTTTATAATGAGATGTCTATAAAAAAATATGTGTTATATAATTGTTTTGTAAATGTGATTTTATAATGGTGTAAAATGTCTACTGTGTATATAACTGTTATATAAGGTGTTTATATACATTATATAAGATTAAATAAATATATTGTGTTTATAGTTGGTATGTTTATACTATCTTGTTTCCATGTTTTCAAAGTGGTGTAGCTTCGCAAACATGTAGAGCAAGATTTGTCAACCTTGCCAGCCAAGTGATATATTTATAGCGGAGATTTGACTTAGCAGCATTTAGTATCAAGCAGTGTTACAGCAGGGTCTAAGTGCTGTTTAGCCTTTATTATTAATTATTCTAGAAATACATAATAATATCTTTTAATAATATTTTGTGTAATGTTGTTACTTATGTTCTGTTATATATGAATGTTATATTACTTAAGCTATGTTATATACATGTTAAATTATCTTATAATATGTGCTATTGTTATGTTAGTATGATATTGTTTTTGTTTTGTAATGTTTTGTGTTGATTGTTATTTGGCTTACCTTCATGTTGGTGTCTATTGTTAAAAATGATTTATAGGTAGTTTCATTATTGGGATACACAGCTTTTAATCATTCACTAATAGCCAAGACAAATTATTTTGCCATATATACAATCAGTTTTTATCTCATTTTGATTTTTTGTTTTAGCACTGTTCATTACATGGTTTTGCAATAATATTTTGGAACCATGATGTACCAATATGAATTTCTAAAAACTAACATGAAAAAACAATGTTTAACAACTACTACTCCGGTATTACAACAGTTTATCACATACATTGATTTCCAATTTTCATGTGATATTTTTCTCTGTTTTAGCTTATTCGTTATATTTTTTATTTCAGATTTATCATATGATGTATATATGTGATATAGAAGAACAGAATATTGTAAATTTTTGTGAATTTATTTAAAAAATCTATCATTTTAAAGTAGTTTTTAGACTTTTCTAAACACACTTCTGATTATTCAAGCTGTTTTGCAAGCAAGATATGCAAGCAAATTTGAGCTGATAAATTTTTCTTAGCTTTTAAGGAGAATTGATGTTGTTTTTTGTTTAAATATAGTAGTTTTAATAAATAAATGTTTGTTTGTTTTGTGTTTTTTACTTATCTATCTATTACTTTTACTTATCTATCTTATTTACTTATTTTTTAGAGCAATTGGAAAAAGCTGAAAGCTATTTTTTAGAGCAATAGGAAAGAGCTCAAGTGCTTTATAGTCATTTTCAATTTGCTTTATTGTTATTTTTTTTATTAGGTGTAATAAAAATAAAATTTTTTAGACAGTAGAACTGGTATTGCTTTGAGTAAGTTTACTCTTTTGTTTTATTTTATATTGGATTTATTTTATATTAGACACATATTTTATGTATTTAACATGGAAAACTGACTGTTATTTGTTTACATGTAAATTTATATACATAAATGTGCCTATTTTTCA